TTCTTGTTCCGCTATACTCAATTTTATAATTTTCCTCCCTTCCTTTATTTTTCCCTAAGCTTCCCTTCTTTCTCTTTATTTTCATTCTCACATCTCACGATAAATAGGTTCTAAGATATTTTATTTCCCGTTGATTGGTCTTGATTTCATCAAATATACGGTTATCTTTAAATCAGTTTACAGTTATTATTAAATCTTTATAATTTTTATTACTTATTATCGTAATTTGATTTTATCTTCTACGATGACCTATTTATTTTTGTTATTCCTATCTTTTTTGTTTATCATGTTTTCTGTCATAGTTACATCTAATCGTTAAAAATAGTTCAGCTTGATTTAAGATGAAGTACTATGATTCCCGTCTCATCTATAAATTTTGCATCTTGGACAAGGCTCAAACTCAAATTTTTATTAACCGAATTTGACATGTATCAGCAATAACGTTTCATTTAATTTGTTTCTATTAATTGTTTTTATATTGAAGATGAAGGTCAAAAGGTTTACATTACGTATGAGGAACTTTTGTAAATGTTAATATTTACTAAAATATATTTAGCATTGTCTATTTCGAGGTTTAGATAATTTTTTGTTTATTTTTCTTGATTTATATTTTTCATATAGTGCCTTTAATTAGTATTAATTTTTTAAAGTTTGCAATATTATCATTCTTAAGCATCCTAATAATAATTTTGATAGCCCAGCGAATTATTAGGCGTCTAAAATTCTGCCTGCCAAATAATGCTATCTATTATATTCTTTGAACATATTCTCAGTTTATTATATCTTTATTATTCCAATAAAATTATTTTTAGATTATTATCTATAGCCAATTTTTTAGATACTTCAACAAAACTTCATTCTTTTCAGTGTAACTGTCATTGCAAACAAGCAAGTTGTGTGAAAATGTTTTATTTTGAGAAATATACGGGAAGAACAATTTTGCTACAGGATCTAAAAATTTCATTAGATATAAATTTGAACATTAATTTTAATCAAAATTATTATACGTTTAAACATGAAAATACTGCAAAATTTTTTAATTTTTTAGTCATTAATTTGAATGTTCTATATCATTATTTTGAAGTTAACCTAACAAAATTATTTTTCAGGTCTATATTCAGCAAAACTCTTTTCTCTGTATACAATCACGATTGAGTCTTGATGCCTTAATATTATTATTTTTATAAATTTATGTACATAAATTTGATAAAAGAGAGAGAGCTTTAAAGGAAAATGGAGAGATATGATTTTGGCTTTGGCTAACTATGTCACAAGTCCATTAGTAATGTTGATAGTAAAAACAAAATCTATTGAATTTATATTTATAAATAAAAGGGACTAAGACTTAGCTATCGCATATGTTTTATACATATTTCTTATGTTAAACGTACATATTGCCCTTAAATGTTTATATTTTTTTACAGAATTTATAACCGATTAAATATTGAAGATGTATGATTCTAAGCAATTTTCATGTCACTGCTCATAATATGAAGTAGACATGTATATAGTTGTTATATACAAATTGAATTGAATCGTTATTATTAAAATTTATTTGAGTATTTATATTTAAAGTAAAAAATATAATATTACAAAAGAAATAGCATGCGCACATTGCGCGTCTATAATATAATAAAAAATAATGTTAGAGAACAAATGTTAAATTTAATTTAACGTATAAAATAATAAAATAAATTTTGGATATTTTGAATATCTGAATATAGAACTTAATTTCTTAGAAAATATTCTCTACAAGAAAGAGTTAAGGCAATGGTCAACATTACGAGCCAGTTAAAAGAAAAGTTTTAAAATTTATTTATAGAGATGTTGAAGATATGAACATTTTGACTGTATTGTAATCTTCTTCAACATAAGTAAAATATTGTATAAGAAAACAATAACATAATATGTAAAGTATAATATTATGAAATGTAAAACGGTGAATGAGAAAATCACAAAAATTAACACTGATTGATAAATTATGTTTAGTATAAAATAAATTAATAACCAAACAGTAGTATAAAAATATGAGAAATATGTGAAAAAATAAAAAAACGGAAAATAATAAATTACAAAGCAAAGAGACCGTGACTAAAATCAGAAACGAAATTATCAGTGTGTGTAACCAGTCTGTATTCAAGATTTGAATCACTGACGAAATATCAAATTAAAGTCTGATTCTCGTCATCCAACAAGCAAGAAATCACAAATCACATTTTTAACACATTCTACTTCTACATTTTACCTCGTGGGTTCAGACTGTGTACATTATTATATTAACATGACGATTTCGTTTCGGATTTTAGTCACGGCCTCTTATTTGCCTCCTAATTTATTACTTTCTATTTTTTCACATATCTCGTATTTTTACATTATTTTACACCAATTTTATATATATATATATATATATATATATATATATATAATGCCACCATTTATATTATTTTGTTAAATTTAATTTTAATTTTTAGCCTTTCTTATCGTGTGCACATTTTATACTTCACACATGTTATTTCCTTCTTTACATATGTTATTATACAATATTTTATTTATGCTGAAGAAGACTATAATTGAAACATTCAACATTTATCTTCAACATCTCTGATGAGTAAATTAAAAAAATTTGTTGATCTTTTAACTAACTTTTAACTGACGTAATTCTGAACATTGTCTCTTTCTTACATTTACATGTATCTAGTTTAATTAATTTATCAATATTCTCTACATATGTAATTATCTATATATTCCCACCTTTTTGGTACGTAAATTTTAGATTAATTAGTCACGCAACACGATCTGCTTATTCATGTTATCCGGGCAGTGTACTCAGGATGATTGATGATATTGACAGACACGCATCTCTCTTCCAATAGCAACTTTTCACAGCATCATCCGCGTGACATCCGCGCCGCGAGCCAAAAGCTCGGGCCGAAAGCTTGGCCACAAGCTCGACTTGAATTCAGTGGCCGCGGGCGCGTTGGTCCGGCTGGTTCCGCGATCTCGTTTTGTGATCTCGCGTGAGGAGAAGAATCGAAATCTCGAGAGCATCTCGCGCGAGAAGACCCGGCGACGTGTGCGTTACGTCCTACGTGCAGCATGTCGTCGAGCTGCTTCTTTCACGAGCCGATCCACCCGCCGATAGATCTCGGCGATCAGTCCGACACGATCAAGGTGGGAAGTCACCCCCTTCGGGAGGGGAAGCTTTCCCGTGGCCGTGATTACGCGCGGAACATCCCTTCCGTTTATTCCGGGCGAGCTGGCGGAACTCAGCGGCCTGTACTTTTCGAAGATCGCGCGGTTTTTCGAATAATATTGATCTCCGCCAGTTTTCGTTCATCCCCTCATCCCGGAAATTACATCGCGAAAATACTCGGCGACAACGTTCGTCGTGTGATGTGATAACAGCAATTGTTTCTCCTCGCGGACTTTACGACTACGTGAATCGTCGAAATGCCGTTTCGTGATCGGAATCATAGAGCTTAGATAAGAATACGATCGAACGTTATATTAATATTATTGGTTTTCGAAGAAGACAGATGACCGTTGTTGTCTCATTTCGTCGATATTCCACCCTTTTGTGATTTTAAACTCCGATAAGAAATAATCTTAGAAATAATTTCCGCGTAAGAAATAGGTTTACGTCACTTGCAGAACGTCACTCAGAGTGCACGTTAAATATAATTGATCGCGAGTATAAATTACACGTGAACATGATATGTAAACGTTAAGTGCAATTCACTATGAAGAAATGTAAATTATGTGTTTATTATATCTTGAGACAAATTACATGTTGCGCGTGTCTAATGTTAATTATATATATATATAAACGTTTTATTTCCCACTATACTTAATGCTAACTGCTATTTAAATAACAAACGAGAGTTTATTCTTCCGTTTACAATTACGCTAACAATTACGCATTAAGTCGTCTCTCAGTTATTCCATGATTACTGGACGTTGACGTAAAAATGCAAGTCATTAAAACACACGATAATGAAAGTATATGATACAATATGATAGTAAGTCACATAAAACACACACACACACACACACACACACATGTACTTTACAGGCATGTTACATGCATAATTAATTCTGCTTATCTCCTCAATGTTAAATCCTTTTTATCAAATACAATACGTCATACTCGGCGCACGGGCGAATCAATCAGATTAAAGTTCCACCGAAAAAGGTGAATTTTTACATTTCACATTCGAATAACACGGCTGTTTATTTAATCGAAAGAAGAGGCGACTTTTAATTACGACTTTTAATTTTTTTTTCCCCTTGTAATTCCTGAGATTAATGTCGAGATTTTTGGAAAATATTTTTCGTCACTTGTTTGACATTTTGCGCTCCAGAAAATTCAGCTCAGGCCAACGATCCGCTCTCGTCTCGACGGTAATCAACGGGATGGATCATTTCGGGATGAAAATATTTCGCGAAGAAGAAGTCTGCGAGTTGCCGCGAGGATAGCGTGCGCTATTTCAACGACGCCTTGTGCACGGGACGTTTTCGCCGACGGTATGCGTCGGGAATGTAGGTGGTCGTTGCACAAGCACGTCGATGAGGCCCACGTCCGCGTCAGTCGGTCGGTTAGTCGGACGGTCGGTCGGTCGGTCGGTCGGTCGGTCGGTCGGTCGGTGGCAAAGATCGATATATAGGAGATGCACGGACCGCGCCGCGCCGCGCGATATGCAGCTGCCCCTTATTCTCGCCCTTTCGTTCCCGCCGCCATAATCAGCTGCTCTCTGCTGCACGCGCCGACACACGCGGGAATCCCGATGTGCGCGCGCGCGCGCGTGTGTGTGTGTGTGGCGCGCGTGTGTGTGTGCGTGCGTGCATGCCCGGGGCTAAATTTAGCGTTGCACTTGCCGCACTTGCGGGACGATTGCGTAACGACTACCACCACGTTTGTGGGAGGGGGGGAAGGAGGAGGAGGAGGAAGGTGCCGGATGTGGTTTCAATCGGGGTTTTTCGCCTCTTCTTCTTCTTTGCAGGGCAATGAGCACATCCGGGTGTCCAAGTTCTACAAGGAGGGCAAGGAGGGCAAATTCGTCACGTTCCTGCACGAGGACACGCGCACGCTGTACGAGGGCTTTCGTCGCGGCGCCAAGGAGTCTAGTGAGTCCTCTTTTTCAGGGACAGAGTCCTCTAAGATAATTCTAAAATCCTCGAAGATAATTGCGTAAGTGTGTCGCTCGTAAACATCGAGTCAAATTAAATTTAATTGACGTTTCACGCTTCACAATTAAGTTAACGCCCTTACGGAAGTCTAATTTAATATACTATAGCGATTTAATACTTTAGCACTACTATAACACTGGAAATTACTTACTTTGCATATATTTTATGCACTGTTGCTCAGTGTTCTTAATACGCAAAGTAAATAATTTCCAGTGTTATATTGGCCGATATTAAATTGGCCTTCTTATCGATTAATTGCGAACCGTCAATTAAACCCCAAATCTAATTTGATTAAAAGCACCGAACACCAGACGTCTTAATGCTCAAAATAAGCAATTAAAATCACTACCTTTCAACGCCAAATTTCTATATAAGAGCACTCGGTGTCAACCGACGCAAAATGAAGATGTTGGATACAGCTCAAGGAAGCGTCTCGCGAATTGTGCGAATCCGCGCGTAAAATGCGCGGAGGCAACAACCTTGGCGTTCACGCATCCGTATCACATAATCCGTGCACACCCGTAACGCAATTGCGTACGCAATGTCGATTTAGCGGCTCGCTTGGCAAGCAACGGACGTCGCTATAAAACGAATAAATAACTCGCGCGCGCGCGCGCGCGCGAGCAACTTCCTAACTGCGAGCCGCGGTGTTTGAATTTGACGCGAATTATCGGCGGCGACGACAGCGGCGATAATTTGTCTCCTCGCCTCGTCGTCGATACGCCGACGATCTTTCCGACGAAGGTTGACAGTTATTTCGGTCGACTGTATATCTCTTACTTTTGCCACGCTGCGTAACCCACGCCCGCGCAACCAACCATCTGTCGCGGTTCTGCACCGGGCCTGTAACGGCGACGGCGACGATGACGACATATCCGCAGATCGATAATCTTACGCCGGGAAAATCCACTCGCCCGACGATCACATGAGGGAATCTCGTGGATGCCGCTCGTCGTCGATTCTTCTTCGTTCTAGGTCAAGCGTTAGACACATTTCTGCGAGACATATGTTTTTAAATATCTCGAGAACGGCGGAAGAAACACGTGTGAGGATGTTATTAGATTTGTGCCGGGGCACAACGAAAGCAACGGAAGAAAGGAAAAATTCACAACACAAAATATTAGAAACGAAAAATTATTATCGATCAGTGAAAAAACATCCTGACATTCCTTGATTAAGATATAATTTTTGTATATTAAAATTTAATTCGATTTTTCTTTATATTTAATTTCTGTTTTTCCATTAATTTAAGCCTTTACCTGTTCTAAAGTTTAATCTTCTATAATGTCATATAAATTTGAAGTCACGTATTCATATATTTATATTTTTAAGTTTTATATAATTTTTTTGATAAGCCTAAATTTTACAATAGAATTTTAATAAAAATTATAATATAAATATTTAAAAATCATCAATTTGTATTTCAAAATTTGTTAATTTTTTTAAGCATGAAAAAAATTTATATTATAGAAGATTAAAACCATTTTAAATCATAAATAATAATAATGCGACAATTTAAATCACTAAATACTAATTATCATTATTTTATATATATTATGTAAAATAAATCCTCATTCCGTAGAAATATTTAGTGAATAAACAGCGATAAACTATCTTATTTTCACTGATCCCTATTTATAGCTCACTTTTATCAATAAATGCGTTTATTTATTTCTGAGAATCTAGTAGTAAACTATATGTGCTAAATGCATATTTAAAGGCGCATTTTTTGATAAAAAATGGATAATACGGACCTTGTTTTCTAACAAATAGGCATATATTTCAATTAATCGTTACTAACAGAAAAATATAACATTAAGGTAGTTATACCTTAATGGTACCCTTCTTGATCTACATGAGTGCTTTTTCGATGCGCAGATAATGGCCCCTGTCTCGGGTGGAGAGACGGGCCCAACAAACCCTACCAATGGCTTCATTACAACGAGACGCTGCTTAGGGCGAAGAATTTCGGTTCCGGCCTAGTGTCCCTGGGGCTGGCCCCTGGTCAACAAACCTTAGTAGGTCTGTACAGTCAGAATTGTCCCGAGTGGATTCTCACCGAGCAGGCATGTTACTCGTACTCGCTTGTGGTGGTGCCATTGTACGACACTTTGGGCCCGGACGCCTGCGCGTACATCATCAATCAGGCTGACATTAATCTGGTGGTATGCGAAGATGACCAAAAGTGCAATTTACTCCTCGACAAAGCGCCGAGGTACGTGGTGACGTTAATCTCTCTTGCGGAATCCACGAAGAAATGATGAACCCTTATGACAAAGTTTCACCCACTTGCCTCCGTGTTAATTAATTTTGTAATTGTCGATCTGTCGATTCCGAGATATCCGATACGCTTACCTCTACTTACTTATATCCCCTCTGTATTTGCTTATTTTTAAATGAGCGATTTTTCACATGCCTTTGGCTGTTTGGTTTTTTATGGTCGGTTGTTTGAAAACTCAAGCGGTGCGCAAGCATGCGACCGTAATTGGCTATTCCGTACTACTCTGGAAAATTTATCTTGCGTGACTATACCACGCCGAAGAGTCCACCTACATTGGCGAAGGCTATCGATTATTGACGGAGTTGTTTAAGAATTAAACACCACTTAATTTAGCATGCCGACGGAAAGAACTCGTCATTTACTTAGCTCGTAATTTAATATGCTGAAATATCGATTGCCCAATGATGATGTCCAAATAATTAATGTACAGACGTATCTTTAAATTAGTTAAGTAAACTTTTCTCTAAATGATTAAAGAACTATTATCAATCTAATATGTTCATACGTGATACAATGCCCAAACAAAAATAAAAATAAAAATATAAAAAGAAAAACACGCTACAAAATCTATTTATCTTTAAAAAAAAATATATATATATATAAATCGTGATGTCACCATTTTCAGCAAATCAATAAATAACTTTAGGCATTTTTCGTTTATCGACAGTCGAAATTCGAAATTTATAATTATTTCTATCAGTTCCCATCCATGATGCAATACGCGAGTCGGAAGCCAGATGTGATCCACCGGTTTCTTCAAAAAGAAACGCTCCCAGGGCCACCCCCGAAAGCAGCTTTAAAGGCGCGCGATGTTGAATGTGTTAATCTGTAACGCTGCCAAGAGGCTTGGGACGCTTCGAAGCGAGGCGTCCCAAGCCCCCTGTCCGGAGGACATCCCGCTGCTCCCCGCTGCTCTCAACGGTTCTCAATTCTCGACAGGTGTCTACGAAAGCTGGTGGTGGTGAAGGAGACGCGGCCGGCGACGAATCAGCGGGCGAAGAACCGCGGCATCGAGCTGTACAAGTTCGACGACATCGAGCGGCTCGGCGCGCAGAAGAACCACCCGGAGCTGCCGCCGAAGCCGTCCGATCTCTGCACGATATGCTACACCTCCGGCACCACCGGCAACCCGAAGGGCGTCATGCTGACGCATCAGAACGTCATGGCGTCGAATTGCGCGGTGATGATGCAGCTGGGCGACCACGGGATCACGTCCAAGGACACGATGATCAGCTTCCTCCCGTTGGCGCACATGCTCGAGCGCTGCTGCGAGAACACCCTGTACATGATGGGCGGCTCCGTCGGCTTTTACAGCGGTGACATCAAGAAGTTGCCCGAGGACATGAAAGCCCTCCGGCCTACCGTCATGCCGGCTGTGCCTAGATTGCTGAATCGCATATACGACAAGGTGAGGTCATGGATCGAAGATCCTTCTTGGGGATCTATAGGTCCTCCACCTCCCAATGAACCGTAAATCAAATTAACTTTTTATTCATCTATAAATCCATAAAATTTATTTTATTTTATTTTATTTTATTTTATTTTTCTAAAATTATTTTTTAATACGTTTACTAATTTTTTTTTTTTTTTTTTTTATGTGGACTGCGCCGAAATAAAACGTAAAGCAAAACGTTGGACGAAAGGATGAGCGAAAGATTTATCGCCGTAAAGAAATGGGATGAACGCTCTTTTGATGACTATGTCTTCAAATCGTCGCGAATCGTTTGGATAGGGTAATTGCGTTTCTGCGTTTATTACCGCGATTTATTTCGAGCGGTTTATTGCTGTTGTCCGCGTGCGCGCGGTTTCCGCCGGTTTGTAATATTTTATTTTTAGTTCGCCACTTGGTCGCTGGATCGCGTGATAGATGCTTACAGTCCGTCTTTCGGTACCACCTGAAGACAATGCGTTAATGATAAACATTATCGTCGTTGTTTTAATCGGTGGGGTGCGTCGGAGTGTTATTCGCATAATAATAATAACGCCACAAGTTAATCCCACGCAGGCCGATAAATGCCGCAAGTAACGCGATTTTAAATTCATTACGTCGATCTTCCCGATTAGATAATTCACGTCCGCGCTTTCGCGATCGATGACTGCGTGTTCCGCCTATTTTTAAAGCCTGGGACTTGTCGGCTGCTACGTCAACCTATCTTTTTTTTCCCCTCCCCGACCTAAAACCACTGTAAATAATCGCGTTATCTTACAGAGCGAAATGTCAATAACGTTATAAATTCCTACAGCAAACAGCAATGTTCTTCGTGCGCAGAGTTGCGGACGCTTTTCTCTTTTCTCCCTTTGGACATTAGGGTTAAATAAATTTAAACGATCGTACGCTTCCGTTTCGCGTAATCGGAATTACTTGCGTGTGATTCATTAAGCGGAAGTTGCACTTGGACGCCGTTCAAAATTTTTACGACGCGACGATAGCATTCCGACATCAAACCTAAGTGCTTCTTTTACAACATTCGCACGCGAAACGGTAATTCGGTTGTTTATAATCTTGCAATTTATAATTCATATATGAGTACGCGAGTTTTCTCATATACATTGTCAGTTATAAATATTACTTATCTCTCATCGTATTTCTCATTGATAAGGGTCATGATCTTTCTGTGAACGATAATGAGAAAACATAATTGTGCTTACTCCTTTCTATAGTTCAGAACGTTTCTCTCTTTTCTAATTTATACAAAGAAAAATTTATAGATCTAAAAAAATAATTCTGTTGGGCGTCAAAATAATTATGTAGGATGTTTAAATCAATTGCTAGAATGTAAAAAAATTTTAATGGCAGTATTTTCATCATATTTTCATAATGTAATATGTAGAGAAGAAGATGGTATTATAGACCATATAGATATTATAGTCATTCGTAATATCTTCTAATTATGACGAATTTTATTAATTATTTATGGAATCATTCGTTTAGTAGTCTACAATGACGCTAATATGCTAGTTTAGAATAGCCGACATTTGTTATAAAATATTTTTACTTTCAATTTCCAAGATATATTTAACATTCAATTACATATACTTCCTCATTCCTTTTAAACTTGAGTGTATTATCATATGAATGTATGTACACTTGAATATTTTTTTTTGTTATTTAATATTTCATTCGGCTATACACGGAGTTATGCAAACTTAAGTAATAGTATAGTATTTGACTAATAAGTATAGTATTTGACTAATTTGACTAATTTTCTAACCAGTAATGTGACTACTTTCGAGATTTTCATATTCTTCGATAATAATTTAAATTCAGTTAAAAAATTTAAAGGTTTGTTTTCTAAAAACTATCTTTTTCGTAGCTTATCTGTGATCTATCTTCTAATCGAAATAAGTCAACATCTTCTATCTATTTTAAAATTTCGCGAAAACTTCGTAAATTATTATAGTTCTTTCTAATAGTTTATTTTACAAACAAATGTATAATTTTATATCAAAATATTGTGTTTTTTTAATTTATTTTTATTTTATGGTTCATCCTTGTTTTTTTTCGACCCATTATGCAATGTTATATTTTATAAATAATATTCAATGTAATAAATATTTCATAACTTTGAATCTATTGAACAACACTTTAATGAATATAGTTGTTAAGTTTTCAATTTAAAATATTGATTATTAATAAAATTAATATACAAAATGTAAATGAATGACTACACCATCTTGCTTTCTAATAATTTTGATGACTCAACAAAATTAACTTTCAAATCTGGCTAAATTTCTAGATTCTACAGCAAAATTACTATTCCATACAGCATTAACATTTTGTAAAAATGAAAAATTTGATTTTATATACTTCTCCTTCTCTTTCGGAATCTTACGTATGTTCCAAATCCTCACATAAATCCTCACAAAATATCCAAATCACATCTAAATTCTCAATCCAAATCCTATCCAATATCCTCGCTTCGAATCATCGTGAAACAAAGAAAACAGACATGAAACTGAGACTCCACGAAGCGAGGTAAAGATCCGAAGAGAGTAGGAAGGGGACGGGGTGTGGAGAGGGGGGGGGAGTTCGAGAGCCCTAAATCTAGATGGATCACGCGCGAGAAGACGCGCAAGTCAGATAGATGTCGAATCACCTATCTTTCGCCTGTCTCGCGTCGCGTGACGCTGATCCCCGTCACCTCCCCTCCCCTTCCCCCCCCCCGCCCCCCGGTCAAGTCCGGCTTTAAAAAACACTCCCGAAATTCGGCGGAGCCAAACGGCGGTCACGCGTTCCCGGCGCGCACGTGCGCGATGACGCGCGTAACAGGTGCGGCGAAGGTGCGCGGCCACCGTTCGCGTTGACTTGCCGAGCTTGCATAAAATTTAACGGACAAGTCACATAGCAGACCTCTCTTACGCGGTCGTTTCACCGCGAATACGGAATAATACGGGAAGGCGGGACAATTTTCCTCCTGTTTCCGTTACCGCGAGATATCGAGAGATCGGGAATCCGTGAGGGGCGGAAATTTGTTTGTTATGTCTCGCCGGTCCGATTATCGATAGGATGTGACATTGACCTCGGCCTCGCATCTGTCTTTTCGAGGAAAAAAAAAGAACTTTTCATCGTTTTATTATGACAACAGAAACGTTCTAATGACGCATGGCCAAATATGTTCGCGTTCAATAATGTCTCGACACGACAGTGCGGAGAAGAGAGATTCGCTAAAGCAGGAGAGTTTATAGAAAATGTCAATATGACATTGACTGGTACGTTTTAAATAACAAATTTAGTATTTGGAAGCTAGTCGAATGCTGGCTATTAGGGGAGAAGCTGTAAAAACAGTTACCGACATAGCCAGCACAAAACATGATTCTTTTTTATATGATCAGATCCGATTTTATAATATCTCTCTTATATTTATCACTATTATTTTTTTCTTAAAGTGTTTGGACGTCGATTATTTCATGTCTTTTATTGTTATCGTTACCGTAGGGCTTTTCTTGCAGTTGTTCTTGTGAAATTTGACGTATCCGTTTGGCATTCTCAGGTGCAGTCCGAACTTCAGAACTCATTTCTGAAGAAGCTAATCTTTAATATGGGAATGCGGGCGAAGGAGGCGGAAATCAAGAAGAGCATCGTGAGGATGAACAGCATATGGGACAAAATCGTGTTCAAGAAGATCCAGGAATCGATGGGCGGCAGGCTGAGGCTGATGCTCGTAGGTTCCGCGCCGTTGGCGGGAAATGTCCTCACGTTCACCAGGTGCGCCCTTGGCTGTGTCATCGTCGAGGGCTATGGCCAGACGGAATGCACCGCGCCAATAACGCTCACTATTCAGGTTTGTCCATCGATCGGAACAGCGTTCCTGATTTTACATGTGATTTTACATGTGATTTTACATGTGTGTTTCTTTCTTCTTTATGTGATTTGGACCTTTACTCTGGGCTATCTTTATCCTACCTTTATCCTATCTTCTTTATGTGTGTTTTGGATTTTTACTATGTGTTTTGTTATCTCATCGAGTCTATCTCACTTCCTTTGTTTTTGTGTTTTCTATTTATGTACATACGTCATCTTAAGTCTGCCCTTTTTAATTTATTTTTATGTTTTTAGTCTCTCTCTTTCTCTCTCTCTCTTCTTTTTTTTTAAAGATTGAGTCGTAAGTAAATTTCGATGTGCAGAATATAATTATTATTCCAAGAATTTTTTCTGATTATATGTTGTGCTAAGTTTATTATTTATTACAAAATTCATCCTCGATCTCAATTTAACGGATTAAAGTGTCAATTTTAATTGGCATTAAAATAAGTTTTATTTAAAAGATTCTGAACTTGTTTATGACTCATACATCTCGTATATCTTATTTGTTTTGTAAGATTAGAAAATTCTTTAACATATCGTTCATTTACTACAATGACAAAAGTTATCATTTTGAGTTTTTGTAAGAATAGAAAGAATCTTAGATTTTTTTATAGAGTACATTACTTATCAAGTGATATACTTAGCTATATAAGCTATATTCGAAAACTCTTTGAGTTTATTTTTATAGTAGGCGAGAATTCAATATAAGAATACTAAGAACGAACGATACTTTTATTTCTGCATTAATTTTTACATCCAAATCACATTTAAAAATGATATGGAAGGTGATATGAAAAAAAAAATCTAAGGACTCATCGCTGATATTAAATGATATCAAAATACAATAATATTTAAATAATATCAAAAGTTATTAAAAATTATTCAAAATATTTAAACTCCGAAGTTTTATGAAGAATCTTGTTTGCGTTGCAAAGCAAACAAGCGATACAGCTATTATAGACACGATTGTGGGCTGCACGCGTGTTCTCCTTTATATTCTCAAAAAGGAAAAGTAGGAAAAATAATCGTTTGGCGATTGACGTACGTCTATAAGACCGTTAACATCCTATCCGGCAATGTTTAAGGATGATACATAAATGTAGATGCAACGTGCATGTTGTAAAGGCCTTTCGATCGGGTACAGCTACCGATGGTTATACGAATAGATTGCCCGACGGATGCATTTTTTATGCAATCGTCGTAAGTTTAAGCGTTAACTGCATTTGCGTTATCGTGCACATTGATCCGGATAAACTTCGGGGCTGACTCGAAGATTTCTACCTTATGCAGGCTGCTATATAGAGGCATTATATTTGCCTTTCTTATTTATATATCCGCGAATATACCGCCCATAAATACGTTGTCGGGTACAACAAGGCGGGTAATGCCACGTGGAAAAATGTTTAGCGTTTTTTAACGTTTTAACGTTTTTAGAGGATCCTATTGATTCGAAACTGAAATTTATCTCAAACCCGAGAACGTATCGCGGCTCTCGTGAGAGGCGAGAATATCGCTACTTTATCGAACGCCGTTTGGCACTGCGACAAAATCATCACTATGCAGACACATCGCGTAAACATAACGTACATAGATCTCTTCGTTAAAATTCCGCAAATTCCGCGATTCCCGAGCGATCTGCTAACCAATTTATACCCTGTTATCGGATTGTTCGTCAACAAACGATTCATAATTCTCGAATATCGCGAATTCTCTCGATTATCGCGATATCACGATATCGAACGCGATATCGAGCGTGGTAATTTGAAACGAAATAATTCCCGATTATCCAAATATTTTGCATGCGGAGCGCGCATTTCGCTTTTGCCAATCGACACTACCTGGAAAATCCGTCTTGATCCAAGAGATAAATTTACGATATGGTTTCTAAACTTAATGCAGACATGTGGAAGTTCAAAAGCGTCGCGCAGTTTGGGAAAATAGCTATAAGCCACAGCTATAGCCGCTTTATAGCCACCCTAAATCGTTCGAGCATTAAATCTCGGTTAATTAATATCCGCCCTTCATTGTTGTTGTTGTGGGAAATGGATACGACAAAATAACCACCCTCGCGAATAATCGATAATCGAAATTTTGCGGGAGCCGCGTTTTACGAAGGTGGCGGAGATGTTTACACGCTGACAGGGTGGCGGAATTAAAAAGATGTTTTTATTGAATGCTGACTAATAATCAAGTGATGCGCCGCGTGCTCTCCTCTATTCTTGGCGCGAGTATCGACACAAATATATAGATACGGCAAAAGCAACCGCAGAGTCGTAGATATTTCTGTCAGCTCATCGAATCAAAGCTTAAAAGCCATGTGCCAGGACACGTGGCGTGCCATCTCCATCATGGGACCATTAGCTTGTGTTATTAAATGCTCCATACATTTGGAAGATTCATCCATCTATCCGCCATCGCTATATTCGATTACATCTGCATCATTCTTCATATATATATATATATATATATATATTCTTGTACGTTAGATTATATGTTAAGGGAGTACACACCCCAATCCTATTAAAAAATAGATAAAGCTTGAGAATTTTTTTTATAAAGAGATAAATGGAAATTTTATATTTTTTTCCGGGTTATTAATGTAACTTTTAATTTTATTTCGTTTTTTTTTATTTTTATTTTTATTTTTATTGGAAAATGGTAGAGTAATTGAATATTCCTGAAATTTCTTCCATCAAAATATTGATGGTTGGCCGCCCACTCTGGGAAGGATTGGAGCATCAGAAATTAAAATTTCTTTTTATTCGTAAACTAAAATTTGTTATCTGAATTAAGCGTGCGATTTTTCGAAAATTGTAATATTTTTTTAGACATGGTCACATTTTTAAAATAAGCGTTTTTATAAAGAGAAAAATCAACTTTAAGCGTTTATAAAAAATTAAATAGATAACAAAAAAATCGTACCCTATAATTTAAATAATTTAATTTGTTTAATATTTACATCAAAAGTGAAAATAAAAATTGAATGAGTAGTTCTGGAGATTTTATAATGGCCATGTCAAAAAACATTGTTTCAAGAAAAATACGAAAGAAATTTCGAGATAACTATTTTTTTTGATAAAACAAGATTTTTCATTTCTAAAATATAACATGAATCTTTAATAAAACTACCTTTTCTTGTGACCAACAAATGAATTGAAAATTTTTTCCCATTCCGATTTCGATCGCCTGTCGCTGTCCCATTTATCTGATCGGACACGACTCTCTATTGATCACTATAACTCCACTAGATGTTCGATATTAACGTAATATTCTACACATTTGAAATTCTAAAGAAATGCTAAAAAATATATATTTTTTGAAACTATCAGGATGATGTAATCCCTTAATAGAGAGAACAGTTTTGCTGAAGAAATTTGACCAGATACAAATTTGAGGATAATTTTGTTGGGCCATCAAAATAATCGCAAGATGTTTAAACAAGACTATTATGCAGACAATTGTTAATTGCAAAAATTTTTAATATTCTCTAAATCCAAATGCCCTATGTAGATATTTCCAACAAAATTATTTTCAGATCTGTATATATCTAATAAAATTTTTATATACTTTTTCAAAACTGTTCTTTCCACGTATATTTCCGTTTTAACAAGTAGATATGTTTGCTGTTGGAAAGATCTCTCGTGTCAATTCGTTTCTTCTAATTTTGTGATTTTCATTTAAATTTTGCAGGGCGATCATGTGCCGGAACACGTGGGACCACCCGTAGCTTGCTGTTGCGTCAAGCTCGTCGATGTTCCGGAGATGGAATATTATGCGGCGAATAACCAAGGCGAAGTGTGCGTCAAGGGTACTAATGTCTTCATGGGATACTACAAAGATCCGGAGAAAACTGTCGAGGTCATCGACGAACAGGGGTGGCATCATACAGGAGACATCGGCATGTGGCAGACTGTAAGTAATCACGTTTCTTTCATTATAATTTATTACGGTGATCATGTATTATTAGCAATTTTTATTCTTATAATAATATAATTGTAATTATAGCGATCATGTATTATTAGTAATGTTTATACTTATAATGAAAATTCTCAACTGAGTCAGTTTTACAAACAAATATATTTTGTATTTATAATAAACATGAGAAATTAGAATTTTCTCTTTAAAAAATAATTAAATTTAATGTTACATATAAATAATAATTTTTTTCTTTAAGTTTAATTTACATTGATCTATTAAATCTATCTATTAAAAAACTTTCAGAATGGAACGTTAAAAATAATCGATCGAAAGAAGCATATCTTCAAGTTGTCGCAAGGAGAATACATCGTGCCGGAAAAGATCGAAAATATTTATTTACGCAGCCAATATATACAACAAGTATTCGTCCATGGAGAATCCTTGAAATCTTGTATCATAGCAATAGTAGTACCAGACGTAGACGTAATCAAATGCTGGGCGGTGGAGAATGGTATACCCGGTACATTTAGCGTCCTATGCGCCAATCCAGAAGTCAAAAAGTTAATCTTGGACGATATGTTAGCGTGGGGAAAAGAAGCTGGTCTGAAATCCTTTGAACAGGTATATTATCGATCTTATTCTCTATCCTTTTTTTCATTGCTTGCAAAATTCAAACGTCGATTTGCTTAAATTTTAAAAGATAAAAATATATTAAAGTGCAAGAGAAGAGTAAATGTGAAACTAAGTAACAAATCCATTTAGAGAATTTAATGAAAACATAATCATTTATCTCGCAGGTTAAAGATATTTATCTCCATCCAGACCCGTTCTCCGTACAAAATGGACTTTTAACACCAACGCTAAAATCGAAACGGCCTCAATTGAAAGCGTATTTCAAGCCACAGATAGAAGATCTCTATCAACACTTGGACTGACCAGACTGAGCGACCGTGCTATCGTTCATCCGCACCAGCACTGAACGCAAGGAAATACGTTCGATGGTACGAGATGGAAGCAAAGCGCCTTTCTTCGTCGCCGTTCTTTCACCGAAGTCACTACTTTCATCAAATATTCGTTAACCCTCGATACTTTTATTATATTATCATTTTCACAGGTACATATTAGGGACGCAGAGACAAAAGAAAAAGCACCGTTTAGGCTAATTAAATGATAATATAACATGTAATAAAAGAAATTATTATTAGGCGCGTCTAATTTCTCTCTTTTTCTCAATTACAAGCATCCTTTGATACTTTCGGTGATGGATTGTATTTACAATTCGATCCTTAAACCCACGCATACCTCAGTAATGTACACAGTGACTGTTGTTATTCTCATGTAAGAGACAAAGTTATAGAATGCATTTTTAACTGATAGAGTCCATCGCAGTGAACTTACCCGATTACGATTCAGGTCAAAATCACAACAATTACATAGTTAACTCGAACATGAAGAGGTAATATTTCAACGTGCCCGATAATTTGGCGCGTACAACAACGTTGAATACCTTGAATATTAATAAATACATTTCTTGTTGAATATATTTTGTGGTTCGGAATATCTTTAGAAACTCGAACGCAGGGCAATGTTAACTATTTATTACGATTCCGGATTTTGCTCGGATAACAATATTCAAGCGGTTTTACGATTCTTTCCATCGTGCATGAAAATAATCGCATTTGATACATCGCGTTCACTAGTTCAGTTAATACTAATTAAATTCGCGGAAATGGAAAAGAATCGTGAAACCGTCTTAAAATTTACCTTTACGAGAATGGGTCAATATTTTTTTATACAAGACTTTTTATATAACACTGCACGGAATCTTTTGTTCTTGTTTAGTAACATTCTGCCGGTTTTGCTTGCTCGCTTGAGTCTTGTTGGCATATTGGCTTTAAATAAGAGATCATCAATCACTGAACTGATCAATTTGATGAGAAAATAGTAGACATACAGCGAAGACTGTGTCTCGAGGCAAAATGTGACAAACAAGTTCGAAGATTGGATAGACGATACAATACAGAATTACTTCGCAATTTGATAGAAATAACATTTTAAAGTCTGATAATAAATACGACTTCCAAACCACATTTGGTGGCTCTGGCCGAAGATAATGTCTATTCTTTAACTCTTAAAACTATAGTATATCACAATGCACGCGACAATTATAAGTACTAACGCTACTCCTGCCAAGATAACTCTCTGCTGAAGGCTCCGAAAGATCATTCCTGATAACAACCGAGACCCTCGTCCCAATTCCGCATCCGTTTCACGTAACTGAAACAGAGGGCATCGTTATCGCGACTCGCTCTTTCTTATTAAATATAAATTTGTGAATCTTCGTACAACTTTACCTACCCTCCCTCTGCTTCGTTGTATCGTTTCTCGCTGTTCGTGAAGCTCCTTCAGCACCTGAGAGCCGATCTCCTCTGTTTCTAGCGCCATACGATAACCATTTTGTAACGTTCGTCCCGATCGTTCTATTCTTTCGGATGCATCTAATAGTCTTTTCCTTTGGTCTTCCGTTACATTATTGTCCCAAGGCTCCTCTACTGTGATCTCTGTGACATCCTCCTTTGGTTTCTTCGCTACTTGGAATTCTTGCGTTAAGCGTTTCAACTCTGCCCTGTGACTCTCCACGCGACCGCGTAAACGATCGCGAGCTGTTCCACTCATCCCACGAACCTCCAATTCCATTTGCTCCAACTGTAAATTACAAATAACTTTCTGGTTAGATAAATATTTACATAACAGAGCGTAGACAAAATTAAACAAAGAAAATAATCTTGATTTTATCAATCTTTACTTACTAAATTCTCTATATAAGTACTATCTTAATTTTATCACTTCAGTTGAAATCAACTTTTCCTTAAAATCTCTTATCTTTTTTCATAACTTGATATTTAAAATTTTGTAAATAATCCATAAATTTAAATCTTCCAAAAATCTATTAAATTAAATAAAAAAATTAAATATTTCTATCTTTGAATTTTTGGGTATCTTTGAATCTGGAAAGCTCAAGATTTTCATAATAAACGTACTAAAAAACAATTAGCTCAATACTTTGTCTCAACACTTTGATGAAATTAAATTATAAATTAGATTCACATACAAAAGCAAAAGAGATGCTTTAAGAGATTAAAGCAATAAGATCTTCACTTATTGACACTAAAAGAGACACAGTGTATATATCATAATGTATCTTGTCTCAATTTTTAACAAGGAGAATCATACAAATTGTAAGTATAGTTCCACCTTCAGATTAGCGTTCTCTCAGAGATTGTTTTTCAAATAAGAAAGAAAAAAATGAAAATACTGGGCACAAAAAATTTGCTTCATTTATTCGCATATTAAATATCTTATTATTTTACTCTATCAAGAAAATAAAATCTCTTGTCAAAAATTCTTTTTCCAAATCACATAAAAAAATACTAGAATTTTCATCTGTTTTACTCTTGAGTTCAAAAAAATATTAAAATTCAGAGTAATCAATGCAATTAATTTATTGTTCACAACTCGCCAAAAGAAATAAAATATAAAATAGCTGTCTAAATTCGAGCGTTAAATTGTAACATATTTCGGAATAATATTGAATGCTATAACAATAATACTAGTTTAAGGGATTTTTCTATTAACTTCTAATCAACGATTAAGCTACTAATAATACGCAAAAAAAACACAACCAGCAATATTTCGACAGTAAGCAAATCGTCTAATCAAGAACTAGAGAATCATCAAAAATATAAGATCATTAAAAAAAAAATATTTAACTCGGACATTCGTCAAAATATCAAGCAGTCTCCAGTTAAAAAACCATAGAAGTGACAGATGTGTGACCGCAAGACACAAATTAATTGTTTTCTAACCCCCCACATTACGTCAGATTATTTGACAGTCGGCGGATTGTGACGTAGCGACTCTTCGCTCGTCGCTTTAATTAAGATGAACGTAAATTCAATTACCAGCTCTTGCGCCTCTTCAATCTGCCGGTCCACATCCTGGATGAAGGCCCTTTTCTCACCTGCAAATTACGTCACGTATATCGATTATTGCTCTTTAACATCGACTCCGCACAACGGTAGCGTCGGACGTCGCGCGAGACGCACCCCGCGACGTCCCACAATCGGTGGGCCCCGAGGGTGTTCCTTACCGCCGCTCTGAACCCTTATCCGGCCGATTTTCGCGGTGATGTCAGCTGTCAGAACGGCGTACTGCTGCTCGTAATTGTCAACGAGCGACGCCATCTTGGACATGGGTGTGCCATTGATCATCGACGCGAATCAGATGGCGATCGGATCCGACTGAAATCCACGAGCCAATAAAGCGGTATCGCAATCGACGAAGAAAAAAATGTCCTTCCTTCCTTCCCTTACGTGTCAATTTGGGGTGTGTTCCTTTATTCACTCCGAGTACTGTCAGTACTACGAATAAGCGTTCCGATATAGAAAGCAGTGTACTCCGAAAGTACTGCCACAGTATAAATAGATACAGTAGCTTCATTCTCTGTTGGCACCTTTGATCTGGGACTCATCATGTAACTTTACGCGAAATTTTTCATTTTTCATTTTTCACTTTCTACTTTTCATTTTTCAAACCTTGACATTTCTCGTGAAACTTTTCACGTACAGCGATTATGTATGTAATTTAGATACGTGGAAAGTAAAATTATGAAATCATGATAGTTTCATCAGTTTTATAGCTAATGAAAATTATTTTATTGGTACAATATTATATACTATTATATTATATAATCTTATTATATTATATAATCTTTTAATAACCAATTGTATATGTACTACGTACACTTAATCCTAAGTGTCAGTCCAATAGGTGATTTAATCTTTAAGAAGAAATTGACCAATTATAATCGAATATGAAAAGAATAATCGACTATGATTGGTCAATTTCTTACGGTTTAAAGATTAAATATTTATTGTGAACTGACACTAATGCAGCCCTAATATTCTTTAATTCCGAAGCATACTTAATAATTCCCTAGATTTCCGCCTTTCCGCCATCAAGGTACATGGTGAAAAAGTTCACGTGAAAAATTTCACGTTTTCACGTTTGAGAGAGTTACATGATTCCGCAAAATCGTATATGATCGTAAGTTCACGTGAACTTTTCACTTTTCACATTTCCGCCTTTAGGGGGAAAAGTTTACATGATTGA